GGGGGTGCTACCATATCCCAAGGATTTGATTTACCCTGAGGGCTCTATAACTATTTCGCTTGTTTGTCTCTGTGCGTAGGATTTTTTAAATTCTTTCTTTTTTTTTTTTAATTAAAAAAAACTCTGGAGTGTTACTATAACACACGTAGCTTCGGGTTTAACATAGCGACAACTTCCATTTGTTTCCCTACGAGACATCGCCCCTGGCTGTCTGAGGGGGGTGGGCTTGGGGTGGGGGGGCGGAGTGGGTTGGAGAAGGTCGCTGCAAATCAATGGAGTCTTTATTCCTTCAATCAAAGGTGATATCGGGGTGGCCGGATCAATACCAATACTGGTATCGTGAGAGGGGGAGGGGGATATCGGGTCTTACACGCGGTGGTTTAAAGGCAAACACTTACACAACTCTTCATGTACTTTGTCAACGATCGTCTGCTGTCTGATATGCGTTCCTTCTTTTTATTATTTCATTTATTTTTGTTTAGCAACACGAGTTTCTCTTTATTAGTGTCTATCATTGTTATCAAGATAAGCCGATCGGCGTCTACTGCCGAGTGTAAGGTAGCTGGATCAAGTTTTGAAACAACAACTGAAATAGTTTAGGGTCTAGTTTCAAGTGTGTGTGTGTTGAGTGTGAATCGGGAGACGGTAGTGACACGCTGTCATGTCACACAATTTTCAGACGTTGACCTACTTGCGTTTTGGGAGTGTGCTGTTAAAATTTCTCTGACGAGGTGAACACTAAAAAAGGAAGAGAAAGCAATAATTTAAATGTGATTTAATTATCTTTTTTTATTCAAAATTGGAATTTTCTAAATAAGCAAATACGAGTCCTGAATATGTTTCTATAAATATATAAAATAAAAGAAATTCAAGACAACATTTTTTTTGTGGAATTGACGTCATCAACCAGAGTTGTCATTCTTTAGGCAGGTCGTGCTTTGAATTCGCACCTATGAAAACTTAATTCATTTATGGACGTCTGATTGGCTGACATTAATGAACAGCCCGGCAACATAAACAGGAATCATCCAAAAATAACCCTGTCACGTTAAAAGAAGACAGACAGGCAACACTGCCCGGGACTCACGGACACACACACCAAGGATACGGTCGCGTGCGTCCGGCAATGAGGATTTTTAAAGACTTTGTTAATTTTGATCAGGTAAGAACTCGCACTGTTTTAAGTGAGGCTCCTCCGGCATAATTGTGTACACATGTATCTATCTCCCTGATGCAAGGGTCGCTTGGGTTGGTCCGGCATAATTGTGTACACATGTATCTATCTCCCTGATGCGAGAGCTGCTTGGGTTGGTGGCAGCCGACGCATTTAAAACATTTCAGCAGTAATTTCAACTTATTAGTTCGACCCAAGTTAAAAGTCAACTTGTTTTGGTTATTATTGTGTGGGGGTGGGGGTGAGGGAAAAAGGGGGGGGGGTGGTTGCTTTTAGAAATGTCGTCAATAAATGTTAGTCCACCTGACTCGCATCACAGGTCACGCCTTTTTAATGCAGATGACCAACAGTTATATTTATACAATCATGACCGTTGCATTCGAAAGGTTGTTGATGGTATTTAGCTTCTGGGGTAGAAAATACATTTACGTATCAAAATTGAGGGTTGGAAAGGTGGGGGGGGGGGCAATGACCGACAAGACACAGGTTAAAGTTAACCATATTATTTTTTGTCGTTTGGTAACATGCAAATGTATTTCACCAATTGTAATGTTTTGTCCTAAGACCAAGACACCGGAACACTGACTTGAGACCTAGTCACGAGGCATTGAATTCGGAATTCAAACTTATTGACAATAGCAGGAGACCTTCCCCCTCCCTCCTTCGCCCCTCCCTCCCTTCTTCGCCCCTCCCTCCCTTCCTCCAACCCTCTCTCTTCTCTCTCTTCTCTCTCTTTCTTCTCTCTCTTCTCTCTCCCCTCTCCCTCCCCTCTCTCTTCTCCCTTCCTGTCCCCTCCATTTATCTCTCCCTTTCCCCCTCTCTCTCCCCACTCTCCCTTCTTTCCTCTTCCCTATCCTCTCCACTCTCCTCTCCCATCTTTTCTCCTCACCTCTCATCTCCCCTCGCTACTCTCTCTTCTCTCCCCTCTCCTCCCTCTCATCTCCTCTCTCTTCTCCCTCTTCTCTCCCCTCTCTCTCATACCCCTCTCCTCTCTCTCTACCTCTCTCTCCTCTCTCTACCTCTCGTTCCCACTCTCCTCACTCACTCCCTCTCCACCCCTCTCTCTCACTCTGTCCACCTCTACATCTCCCTGTCTCTCTCCCTGTCTTACCATCTGCTCTCCCTCTCTCACTCTCTCCCTTTTACCTCCCCTCCTCTCTTCCCCTCTCTTCCCCTCTCTGACTCTCTAGCTTTTCCGGCGGGGGGGGGGTGGGTCATGGGGAAAAAGGTTGGGAACCACGGTAGGGTGTTTAGCTAGCCATCCATACAATAGCATGTGTGTCGACGGTGAAGAATGTTTTGAAAACATCACAGACATCGGCGACTATTTCTGCCTGTTTAAGATTTATTTCCGTTTATTATCCGCGCATTGACCGTAACAAATGCAGAGTTTGAATGTGTCCTTAAGACAGAGTTTGAATGTGTCCTTAAGACAGAGTTTGAATGTGTCCTTAAGACAGAGTTTGAATGTGTCCTTAAGACAGAGTTTGAATGTGTCCTTAAGACAGAGTTTGAATGTGTCCTTAAGACAGAATTTGAATGTGTCCTTAAGACAGAATTTGAATGTGTCCTTAAGACAGAGTTTGAATGTGTCCTTAAGACAGAGTTTGAATGTGTCATTAAGACAGAATTTGAATGTGTCCTTAAGACAGAGTTTGAATGTGTCCTTAAGACAGAGTTTGAATGTGTCCTTAAGACAGAATGGCGGGTGTAATTATTTCTGCTTTATATAGAGATAACGATATACAGATTGCCTTATAAAGAAGACCCTGTGTTGTGAATCTATCACATAAAAAAATGAGCGCTCACTTCAAGACTGCCTGAAAGATGAAGACACATAATATGTAAGGCTTTGACAGGAATGTTATAAATAGTAGGAAGCTTTCCCACACCCCCAGCTCAGTTGAAACCCAGGCGATATAACTTGATGAGTACAGAGCCAACATTAAATCTGTTATGTTCATGAACTGAGATGACCACTTTAAAAATGACGCGGGCAACTTGGCATTAACTCGATCATGCCATAAACGTAGCCTCAAATTGGGATCAAGTGAAATTCGGCCCTAAAGATTTCATATTTGTTTTAAAAAATGTGCCTAGCAACTGGGAATCGGCGGTCTCGCGTTCTATAAATAGGCTTCTCGTCAGATTATTGTTCGCTTTCGTTTATGTCATTGTTCTAACCTGTAATGCTTTCACTTAGAAGCGTGTGTTAAAGAAACAAAAATATATATTTGTACATAAAGAGTAGCGTTTAAATCAGGTGTCATCAAACTATGGCTCGCGAGCCGGATCTGGCCCGCCAAAGTGTCCTTAAACCGGGCCTGCCGTCCCGCCGTAAAGTTAGCTGTTTGTCAGCGGCAAATAAGGAACCAAACGTTCATTATCTCACGAGCCAACCTCGTTTTGGAAATATTATCACGTTAGTTCACACGTTTTCCACACAACAAAGTTATGGTGTTTTTTTTAAAAAAAAGTATTTTTGTATTTTTCTTTCAAATAAGATATTTTCAGTTTGCACGGGAGTCGTTCCAATTTTTTCTAAATCTATTCCGGGCCACCGAGAGTGTTTAACGAACACTGATCCGGCCCACGACACGGTCTGGGCACACTGATCCGGCCCACGACACGGTCTGGGCACACTGATCCGGCCCACGACACGGTCTGGGCACACTGATCCGGCCCCCCGACACGGTCTGGCACACTGATCCGGCCCACGACACGGTCTGGGCACACTGATCCGGCCCCCCGACACGGTCTGGGCTCACTGATCCGGCCCCCCGACACGGTCTGGGTACACTGATCCGATGCTCTGTTTAAACAAGTTTTAGGATCCCTGGTTTAAGTGGCACAACGAAAAGTCTCGGTTGTGTCTTACCATCCTTCGCATCGTGTTTTATTTCAACCCATTTGTAAATGATAAGACGCTCTGAATCTGAAGTTAAAATACAGTGAACTGTTATTCAATCGTGAAATGCGACGTTTTGTTGTATGGCTTGAGAAAATGCAGGGTAACACGTGACTGTAGTCGACACCTGACAAACAATCTGACAATAGGAGGAGACCTCCCTTTCCCCCGAAAGCGAACACTAAGTAGTCGACACCAGAACCACGTTGTCAGTTATAACCGAATAGTAAACTCCAGATAATAAAATAGACTTTTCCTTAACCCAGTGGTCGGCAAATCACGGCTCGCGAGCCGCATGGGGCTCTGCAGCAACCTGCCAGTCGGCTACAACTCGGTCTTGACTCCGAAGAACATGGATCTTGACAGGATCTTGAAAAGAAATGTGGCTCTCAAAAATTTTGTAATCGTCCCTGCTGCAGATTTTGGGCTCTTTTGACTAAAGAGTTTGCCGACCACTGCCTTAACCTACTTAATTAGTTCTTGTTATTTTATCCTATACGGGGCCAGCAGCAAGCAAAAACTGGTTTTTAGATTGACCGCGGGAAAAATAAGATGTTGAAGAATTCGTTAATGATTATTATTATTCCTCATTGACATAGTATTGGCATTTTCATATATTCACGAAACAGTAAATCTATTTGGTGGCTGTAGGTTTGATAGTTAAGCTCAATCTGAGACGTCTCTTTGCTGGCTGTAGGTTTGATAGCTAAGATCAATCTTAGACGTCTCTTTGGTTTGATGGTTGAGCTCAAGCTCTAACACTATGAATGAATAGACGTGATTGATTACGTCATATGAACGTTAAGTAAGACTCTCCCGCTATGTCATATAGTAAGAAAAGGCCCAAACAATCCCTAGTGCCAAAACATTTCTATATTAATTGGCAGAGCCTTTGGGGAAAAAGAAGTCTTTGCCAGCGACAGATTAGCGGCAAGGCTCAATTTTCACTCCTACTGCCAGACAAACTATAATATTACCTTATGGTCAATTTGGTAATAGGATCACGTAAGCTTCCATTCTCACTGGCAGACACACTGTGGTGTCACTCGGGGTAAATTTGGTAATAGGATCACGTAAAGTGAATAAAATAAACAAAACTACAAAACTATCATTGGTTGTAGAGGTCTACGGTGATCGAAACATTCCGGTGGCTTAATTCCTCTGATCCTTAATGATTGCTATCTCGGCATTACTTGGATCACCCCAGCACACTTAAGATGACATGTTCGACTGAGCGACTCATCAGAAATATTAATCGAATCGGATAGATAAACACAAAAACAAATGGAATGTGGCAATTTACAATACTACTCTAGTTTACTGGTGATAAAATGGGCACGGTATCACTCTAATATTGATTGGAAGGTTTTTAAGGCGCTGGAAGCTAGGCTATATTTAATTTGGAAAGTTTAAGGCACTGGTAGCTAGGCTACATTTAATTTGAAAGTTTTAACGCGCTGGTAGCTAGGCTATATTTAATTTGAAAGTTTTAACGCGCTGGTAGCTAGGCTATATTTAATTTGAAGGTTTTAAGGCGTTCGCAACGGGGCTTTGTAGGAACGTTTGATTGAAACTCAACAGGATTGGTCGTGGCACAGCGGTGCTCATTTTATTTCAAGCCCCCCCCCCCCTAACCCCAACAAAATAAAATATCAATTTTGTTGATGGCAAAGTAATTCCCACAACTCGTGAGAAACTGAAATTTCCTTTGTTGCTGTCGTAGCTACCGAGTTTATGAAATTTTGGCTGTCCTGTTTTTGCATTTGTCGAAACGGCCTAATTTGTCTAAAACAGTGGTTCTCTACTCTCTACCTTCTTAATGCCGCGACCCTCACTAGCAGTTCGTCTTGTATTGGCGACCCCCAATCAATGTTCCCTTTAACCTGCGCGGCTGCGCGGCCGCGTAGCAATCTCACAGACGCCGAGCAGCAGTTTTGAGTACCGCGCAGCTAATTTCCACTTAAGTGTGTGTTTGTGTCTTTAGGCTGAAAATTTTGCGCACAAAAAAATTGATGCTGTAATAATGTTCCCACAACCTTATGATTTTGCACACGAACCAACAAACCTTAGAGGGAACATTGCCCCCAGCCACAAAATTATTTTCGATGCTACTTCATAACTTAAGAGTATATGTATATTTTCAGATGGTCTCAGGTGACCCCGGGGAAAGGGCTGTTCGCCCCCCCCCCCCCCACAAGAGGTTACGACACACAGGTTAAGAACCTCTGTTCTAAAACAAATAACCCCTCATGGTAATTCCTCATTGGAACAAGACAGGATTTATTCCTCATTGATTTTTTCCCCACATAAGAATTATCGTGTTGTTGCCAGGATACCAGACGCTTTGTTTTTAATGAGACCAAGAATGTTTGGGAGTGGCTTCCCTTTGCCGGCCACAAAACACGACTTTAAATGCCCGGATAGTGGATACGGCAACATGTCTTCCAGGTCATTTGGAATCTGTATCCACGGTGGTGTTGATTCCAAGATAACGCACACTGACATGTTAAATCGCTTTTAATCTTGACGGATCTGAGCTCTGTCCCCATTCACTGACGAAAGTCGATCGTTTTAAGATTATCTTTCTGGTTCGCGCCCTTGTTTCTAATTACCATCAACCGCTGACGCTGGCACTCGGTAATCTCTTTTATTAGTTATGCCGATCTTAGTCCTCACAAAACGGACTTTCTTTTTCTTTTTTTTTTTGCATGTGTGCCTATCAGCTACACGAGCAATCCAAGGCTGATGTGTTGGAGTTTTGTGTTTTGCATTCTGTCTCCAAGTTTTTTGTTGTTGTTATAATTTTTACGTAGGTGTGTGTGTAAATCAATATTATTTTTGAGGATTCATTTCTCGTTTTAGATGCACGATCGTGGTTTCTTGTGTTTTAGAGCGTGTTTTGTTAACGCCTGAATGTAACACGCATTCTCAACAGTTTAACGCTGCCTGCATTTATCTTGAAGAAGGTTGTATAGTTCAAGCACCAGTGTTGGAGGATTTTGGTTGATTGTGAGCGGGGGGGGGGGGTGTTCATCATTCCTATGGTTGAAGGAACCATCATTCTTATGGTTGAGCGAATCATCATTCTTTTGGTTGAAGGAGTCATCATTCTTATGGCCAGAGTTTTACATTCTTTTTTTCAGACTCCGACCGGAAGGAGTAAAAATATCCCGTAGTAACTTTATGACAGGTTGATAGTGTCATGGAGCATATCCTGTTGGTCGTCTGTTTGTATGGGGACCAGATGTCACACACGTGGTGGTCCCTGGGCGAAATTATTTTCTGAAGGATTCAGTGACGCTCTTGGAGATAAAACCTGTCAACGTGACAGTCTGAAGTGTTATTTCAGGGGAGATTACTCACTGTTTTAATGTGTAATGAGTTATCAGGGGATTAGATGAATTACGTCTTGCGTCCGAGATGTCATTTGTTCCAACCTCGTAACCTGTAAAGGTAGAATTAATTCAGTTTATTATTTTTTTTCTCCATTCACATCTAAATGGTTTAATTTCACACACGAATCTTACACTTGGAAGTTGATATAAATAACTTAGAATGAACATGACAGATTATTCATTGAAAGATGTGTGTGTGTGGACTACAATAAATTAAGGACTGCGTTCACGCTGAGAGAAGGAAATAGTAGAGGAAAGGTAAGTGCTTGCTTGAATCGAAAGGCCGGACACTAAGAGAAGAAGAACGTTTAGGCTAAGAGCCTTCCTCAGCAGACGGGACAACACTGGTTTTAACTAGTTTCTATTTCTTGTCGCATTTTCATGTGCCTGTTTGTTTGTTTGTTTGTTTGATTATTTCCGCGAAGGTTTTTGCATGGTTTGATCGATCTGAATTCGATCTCGACCTAACTTGACACATACTATATCCATCATCATCCAGATTCAAATACTGGGTTTAAAAAAACAACAACAACTTTTTTATAATATTCTGCTTAAACCCCAAGTTCTTTTTGTTGTTGTTACATGAGCACTAAAAATAAATTACCAACAAATCATCCTACAAAGATGGATGGATCGTGACCAAACTTAGTGCACACACACTTGATTACCCGTATTCAAATACAGAAGGGTGCTGAAATCATAATATCTTCTCTTTTGGGGCGGGTGCCCCCAGTTCATTTTTAAAGCTAAATATTTAAAGCTATATATATAAGCTATATATATATTTAAAGCTATTTTTGTATTGAAATACAAAACGCAACATTACAAAAACTATTTACGAGAATACCCATTCTAAGTCTTTCATCCCTTGCAACCATAAACAACACACGCCAATATTCATCTTTCCAGCTAGCTATTATCTATTATATTGGAGATAATAGCTAGCTGGAAAAGATTTTGGACAACATCACCCCAGCAGGTGTTTGCGAAATAGATGTGTTTTCAATTCGGTTCTGAAAGATTCCAGTGTCTGGCTTTTTCTGAGAGCGACAGGAAGTGTGTTCCAAATTGTTTAGGTCGAGGAGTTATTTGCCGGTGGTATACGCGACTCGCATTGAATTAAAACAAAATACATTTGTGTAAAAGTAAATAAATAAACAGATAATTTTTTTTTTATATTTCTCAATTTAACAGACCATTTCTATTCGAAAAGTGCCGACTTTCCCCTTTCAAACCACCACGAGCCCTAAAAAAAATATTTTGTGTATCAATTCTTTATAAACGTAATATTGAGCATTTAGTTGCGGCCTAAAATTTGACAAAACATGCATTCAAGTAACGCACTTTATGAGAATCCCAATTAGTTCACCACCACCCCCACCACCACCACCACCCCTTGCAAGGCTCGCAACCCGCAAATTGTTCCACGCCCCTGAACTACATTCATATTTTAATGACCCATCCGCTTGTACAACTCAGATTTATTTCAACAACTATTTCAAATTAAAAAAAAAAAAATACGCACCAAACGCACTGGCGATATTTTTAAGAATCTCATTTGGTGCAGTGATCGGGAATTTTACTTCGTGAAATCAATGTCACCATATGTCCGTTATCTTCCCCTTGAAAAACAGGAAAAAATTGATTTTTTTTTTTTTGGGGGGGGGGGCGGGGTTTTCGGGTGGGGCTAACAATTGGAAAGAATATTTTTTCCTCGGCAACGGTTCTATGTGCCATGTTTCAGCTCGATAGGTTGACGGGAAGGGGTTAAGAGTTGTAAGAAAAGAAAGAACCTCATACCGTTTTAGCTTGAGAACCATACATTTAAAAAAAAAAAATAAAAAATGTTGTCACCTTTTTACGGATGTTTTCAAAATAGATTCATATATTTCCACGTTAAAAATCTCTTAAATGTAGTGCTTTGTTACTTAAGCTTTTCATTAAATGTACTGAACTCCCAAAGTAGCATTGTTACTACTGGAAGATTTTAAAATTTCATGTTGGACTACGTTTAAGCTTCTGTTTGTTTACGTTCAAACTTACAGAAACATCCCTGGCCAGCGGATGCGGCCGCCATGTCGGGTGACCTTGACCTCCAAGTGGGCCGACCCTTGACCTATGACCCCGACGTGCACCGGGACCTGCACCACCAGCTCAAGTCCAGCCTGGAGGTTTTCCAGCCCAGGCGATGGCGACCTCTGACCCCCGACCTCATCCCCCAGACCGCGTTCACACGGTGCCGCCCTGTCAGCGGGAGGTAAGCGCTGTTCACTCTAAGTTTTGTCGTAGACTCGCTTACCGCCCTTGACGTCGACTTCTGTTGTGAGTTTTGACATGACATGACACTCGACCAAAGTCAACAACCATCAGCAACAGCGGCTTGACCGCAACCGTTATCCCGCTTAGTTAGTCGTCACTTCCGGTAGATCCTCACTCTCTTTCTCTCTGTCATTGTTTCTCGCCCCCTCTCCCACCTTTCGACACATTACATTTTTAAAATGACAATGGGAAATTACCCCTCTCAATTACCTCATATAATTAACGGAAAATGATAACCCCTCTCAAATATCTAATTAACTGGTAGAGCAATCAGATGAGGGGAGGGGGGGGGGTGCGAGTGGCGAGTTTATGAGAATGTGCAATGAAAAGAAAACGCATAATAAGCTGTGCATAATTTTTCTCTCTGTAATTTTTAGCTTTTTATGTCAAGTTTTCCCCTTTTTGAACAATGTTTGTTTCATAAAAAAGTATTCAGACAAACAAACAAACAGAGTTTGGAGTCGAATAGATGAGGTCTTGAAGTTAACTGGGCGCCCTGGGGGAGTTGGGATGGGGGGGGAGGTGGATGGGTGGTTCAGAAAAGGCTGCACAAAAATATTACATGGATCGTCGTTTCTGTTTTGCTTGAGAAGTCATGTTTATTTGATCTTTGATTGAAACGATGAAAGACGTCGAAGCCACCACGTGAGCAAACAAAACACCCCCCCCCCCCTGGTTTCATAGCTGTAGCTATAACAAGAGAGGATAACTGAGTGCATACACTTTGTTTTCTTTCAGATCCCAGTCCCAGTGCCACTTGACGTCACTGGCGTCCAATCACAAGCACGCCGCACATTCAGATCTGCCGACGTCCCGCCCCGACAGTCGCGTCGGCTCGGCGAAGCTCCTGCACAAACGCCCAGACACCCCGCGGGTGAATCACGGAAACTTCGACACCCTCAGCCCGGCCGTGTTAAGCCAGTTGGTTTCCGACTCCCGACCTTTGACCCCAGAGTCCACCTACGGCAGCGTCAGCAGACGGTCTCGGAGCTCAAAGTCTGGAGGCAAAGCGAGGAGGTACGCGAGGAGCCTGGGACGGTCAGACTCAGACAGCTCGAGTTACGACGCGGACAGCGACGATGAATGGGTCAATCTTCTGGCCGGAAGCGACGACGAGAGCTTGTCCGATATGGAGAAAGGCAACGAGCCGTCGCTCGACCCGAATAGACCTATTCCGGATCTTCACCTACGACCAGAACTCCTCGACCGTGAGTACGTCCCGAGGAGAAAGTCGGACATGCGCCGTTTTGACTTTAGCGCCGAGAACATTGACTTGCCTGTGTATTGCTTCAAAAACCCCGTGCCGTCCCCGCTGGACAAGATAAACATCCGCTATTGCGCCTTGCAAAAGCTGGACTGGAAAATGTCGCCGTTCGCGATCGGCTCGATCGACCCCGCCGTGTGCAGTCTGATGGACCGTTTGGTAGAGATTGAAAAGATTCAGGCCAAGACCGCCAGGTGGGAGACACAGCGCGTCAGACACGTCAGGCGGGGTAAGAGCGTCACTACCAAAGCACGCAGCAAGCGCTGTTGCGCACCGTGCCTTCAGCCAGCCTGTGTCGGGGATTGCCCGCATAAAAGGGTGCACGCGGATTGTTGCGTGAACTGCCGCCAGCCGCTGTGCACCGGGAGCTGCACGGACACGCGGTACGACCAGCGCATGCGCCAAACGAAGGACGAAGGCGACCTGTCCTTGACCCCGATCAACCCGTCGATCGCCAGAATGTGCAAGACGTGTCAAGGACGCAACAACGCCGTGGCCGCCCAGGAAATCGCACAAGGTCGCCCCAGGTCGGCCATGACGACCTTCAGCAGGATGCAAGCCTCGACCAAAGGCCACACCGCCCGGCCCACTTCCGCCGAGGGGGTCCCCGAGGGGCTGCCTATCACAGTTTCAAAAATGAAACTCGAACCCCGGGTGCAGATCCAGATGTGCCGCCCCAAAAAACTCCGCCCCCACAGCCGGCAAGGGTTGATACCGGGTAAATCCATCTCGTCAAACTTAAACCAGTCGCTGACAGATCTGTCGGCGATTCCCAAAAAAACTAGAGAGCCCAGAAAACTTAGAAAAAGTGTTTCTTAATTCGGTAATCTCTCTCCTCCCCTCCCCCCCCCCCAACTGAGTTTGTCCACTGCAAAATCCAGGCGGCCTTAATCAAATGTAGTGTATGTGTATTCAGAAAACTTAGAAAAAGTGTTTCTTAATTCGGTAATCTCCCTCCTCCCCTCCCCCCCCCCCAACTGAGTTTGTCCACTGCAAAATCCAGGCGGCCTTAATCAAATGTAGTGTATGTGTATTCGGTGCTAAGAAGTTACAGATTCGAAGATGGATTGCTTGTATATTTTGATGAATGCATACTAAATGTAAGAGGTAGCTATTTATACCATGAAACTATGTGACATTTCTCTCTGTATTGTATATTAATCCGCTAGCTAACTCGTATTAAGTAAACCGATCAAGATATCTAGGTTGTGATTCCCTTTTATGATAGAAAATGTCATAATGAAGAATTAACCAAGGAGCCATTTTTAGTTGATTTATGACCAATTTTCACATCCTCCGCGCGCATGTCTGTGGTAAGTAAATAAAGTTAGCCACACTCCACACACGTTGCAGTGGTAAGTAGATTACGAGAGTCTCACACCACACGTATGTCTGTGGTAAGTGGATTAAGTGAGCCACACACCGCAATATCTCGGTGGCAAGTTGATTAACTGAGCCACACACCACACGTATATCTGTGGTAGGTTGATAAAGCGAGCCACACACCACACGCATGTCTGTGGTAAGTTAAGTGAGCTACATACCACAAACGTCTGTGGTAAGTTGATGTAGCGAGCCACTCACCACACCTATGTCCATGGTATGTTGATTAAGTGAGCCACTCACCACACCTATGTCCATGGTATGTTGATTAAGTGAGCCACCCGCTAAACATGTGTCTGTGGTAAGTTAAAATTGTTCTTAAAAAAAATCCCCCCCCCCCCCTTTTTACAAAAAAAAAAAACAGCTTCTGCTTCTTCTGGGGCATTATGTAAAAACAATCCTAAAGTCAACAGAAAAAAAATGCCTAAATAAATATACCGGTGAAAAAGATCAATTTAATCTTTGATTCGTTTAACCTTAAAGGATTTCAAAGTAGGAATCATTAAATTTTAGTTTCCCCACGAGATTTCCCCGAAACTAATAATAGATCCGATGAAACGTTCATTCCTCTTGGTCCACAGCAAATGATACTCTCGCAAATATATTTTTATAAAAATTAAACGACATTTTCATAACTGTAAAAAAGGTATTTCTTTTGTACTTGTTTTTAAGCTAGACATGGACAGTACGACGTCGCCATTCAAATATTTCAAGATGTTGTATTATTTATGATTAAACTTTGATGAAGTTAATTTAATGATGACGTCAATTAAAGTGTGAGTGTATCCTCGGGTAGTTGCAGTGGGCGCTTGATGCACAGGGTGAAATAGAAGGGAAGTGCTTATGAATTTAAAGATGCTTAAGAATAAATAGGATATATACAGTAATACATACAAAATTCGCGAGGTTAAGTTCCAGAAAACGTCGCGGGTCAAGAGGAATTGTGAAGATTTGGGTCGAGTACCTAAAAAGGCTAAGAAATACTTATATCTAGAGTCTCACCACTATATATAAATCGTACTTAAAAGCACTTTAATTCAAATTACACAAGGGTTCGCCAAAGAAATCATGCAGGGCACAACGAGAGGTGAGAGAAGAAGAGGAAGACAGAGAAAAAGATGGGAAGATAACATCAAAGAGTGGACGGGACTAACACTGGGCGATTGCTGTGCGAAGTGCAGAAAACAGAGAGGAATGGAGGGGGATAGTTTTCCTGTCATCTGTGGCGCCCCAACGGTCCAAAGACTAAAGGACACGACGATGATGATGATGAAAAGTTACCTGAAACACATTACCCTTAAACGCACACATTTTTTTTGGACATAATAAAAAAAAAAGAGTACAGTACAGTATCAGCCTAACGGGTATTCTACACACTAGCATTACGGTAAACTATGTTTCACTGTGTTCTTTAAGGGTTACACGTCACGTGTTCTGTATCTGAAGTACACAAAAAATAGTTGGATCAAGTTTTCATTTTGCGCTTGCAGTTAGGTAAAACCGAGCAACGGATGGGACTGTAACCTTTATGACCTAAGGCGAATGCAACTGGATTGAGTTCCAATGAAAATTTCGCGAACCTGTGAACCCGAGAATCCTGAAACGCGAATGCGCGAGGTAGAAAACATTACGTTCAAACGAAGAAGCATTTCGATACTTTGAATTCAGCGTCCTCCCAAATAAATGAACCAGAACGAAGTCCCATTACATGAACCAGAACGAAGTCCCATTACATGAACCAGAACGAAGTCCCATTACTTAAGATTAAATGAGAAACGTAAAAGGCAATGTGTGTCAATGTTGCCGATAGAAGTTTGGTCGCACCGACATTTTGTTCCATTTTTTTAAATTTTTAAACTCCTAGAACACACCTGGCAATATCTGGCGGCACACTGGTTTGCAGCGGCATTTTTAAAATAAAAAAGTTACGGGCTTCTGCTATGATGCATAGGAATAGATGGTTACAAAAACGTATTATAAAAGAAAATCATTAAGATTTTAAAAACCTTTCAACAGTAATTCATTTTGCATGAATTTTTAAAACAACATTAACCAAGTCATTCATGAATTATGAATAGATTGTACTTAATAAAAAATTTTTTAAAAAAAAAGGTCAAAATCAATAATATTATAGAAAATGTTTTGTCGCTCCACGATGGTTGTGCCACAGGTAAGCTCAATAAGTTAAGTTAACTAATTATAAAAAGTGTTGGACTGCGATAAAGCTTTAAAATAGATTAATAAGACACGAACAAATTGTGTCAATAGAACAATATGAGTTAGCTTTAATAATAATTATACATTATACACAATTAAACGTTTCGGCACATTATCACTTTCCCTCTGGGAGTATTCAGATTAAAAGATGGCTTTACCTGCACAAGACGCAACGTGATTTACAAAATCATTTGCAAGAAGTGCGGTAAACTATACATAGGAGAGACAGGTCGTCGCCTTGGGGACCGTTTCAGAGAGCACCTCTATAACATAAATAAACACGCTCTCTGTCCGGTCTCCAAACATTTCAATAGCCCTAACCATAATGGTATCTCAGATATTGTAGTTACTGGTATACTCTATACTAGTAACACTGCAGATAGAATCTATATGGAGAACAAATTAATAACTAGATTTGGTACGTTGTCTCCATATGGATTGAACCAAATCCACAGTTTTACTTAGCTGCCATGTCTTTTTCCTGTTTGGTTTTTCCAATTATGTTAAAATCACTTCCTTTCTACTTCTCTTTACTTTGTTTTTGTCTGGTTTTAGCGCCCTCTCCTATATTTTTTCTGTTTTAGGTAGAAATATGTATATTTATATTATGTAAATTTTATTTATACTTATTTAAATGTGTTTTGTTTGTTTGTACTGATGAAGGCATGTGCCGAAACTTTTAATTGTGTATAATGTATAATTATTATTAAAGCGTAACTCATATTGTTCTATTGACACAATTTGTTCGTGTCTTATTAATCAATAAGTCAAGGCTGGTCACCAAAAGTCCTCTCTCCTTGGAAAGTGAGTAGGTTCGAAATAACGCTTGGCCGTGACGACACCCTTCTCGATGTCCATGCAGGTGTAGGTCGGAAATGAAGAGAAATAACGACACTGGTGGACCTACTGGTGGATCTAATGGTGGATCTACTGGTGGACCTAATGGTGGACCTGGTGGATCTAATGGTGGATCTACTGGGGGATCTAATGGTGAATCTACTGTTGGATCTACTGGTGGACCGGACCTACTGGTGGATCTACTTGTGGACCTACTGGTGAATCTAATGGTGGATCTAATGGTGGAACTACTGGTGGACTTACTGTTGGATCTAAAGGTGAACCTACTGGTGGATCTACTGGTGGACCTACTGGTGGATCTAATGGTGGATTCAATGGGGGATCTACTGGTGGTCAATGCAAAAGGCGGTGAAAAACGCGTGGACTAAAAAGGGGGCGGGGCTTCCGGCTTGGGCTTGGCTCAGAACGAGTCAGACACATACAAGCTAACCGATACTGAGGAAATAACGAGAAGACGACATCCTTGAGAAATGATTGATGAAAATTAATTGCAACTTTTTACTATGCTCAAATTCATACATATTTTATTTTTTGCAATATCAATAATCATCAACTGGGTAAAAGTGTGGTGGCCATGGTTGGTGTCACCCGGTACGGTAAACTCATGAGGTCACACCCCCCCCCCCCCACCCCTTTCCCCAGACTTCCCCGATGGATTTCTTCCTTTTAAAATAAGTCCACAGTGTAACAATGACAAGAACACACACAAAAAAATTAATTGAAGGTCAAGAGGTAACTGTATTTAAGAACTGTAACAAAGTTAAGCTATATTTATTTTTACATTAAATTGACTCTTATTAAAATGTTCTTTTCCTGGTCTTCAACGCTGCAAACCTGTCAATCGCTTGATCAAAATCAATATTCTTCACCGTAGCACTTTTAATTGATAGTAGTATCAGATCAGAAAGCTGTGACTGTCCCTTGTTAAATCGTATCTAGTTCTTGATAAGCTTTAGTTTTGAAAAGCTCCGCTCACATGAAGCAACAGAGACTTAGATGGTAAGAAACAGTTAAATGCTAAGCCAGAGTAATGTTTTGGAAGAGATTCTAGGCAGTCTAATTCAACTATGAACTTCAAAGCATCAACTACTGACCAGTCCATGACTTTGTAAATCTCAATATCAGCTGCCTTTAGGTATACGCATTTCACTTAAAAGTTCACCTTCTGATAACTCATCATAGAAAGAGGTTAATTTTAAACGGACATCAATAACTCGTCTTCACTTGCTGATAGTGGATTATTGGGTTGACCAGCCCCAAACATACCTGTTACTTCCTTGATCGCCACTGATCTGATCTGGAGTTCAGAATAAAAGTGATTGATACACATCAGGAGAGACCGACCGAATTTCGGCTTCGGTTTCGGTTCCGAAAGTTGCCATTTTGATCACTTTCGTCGTAGTTTTGGTTTTAGTCGAAACAGAATAGTTAAGTTTAAGTTTATCTTCTGTTTTGGCTGAAAGTGATTGAGACTTTCGGCCATCTGACAGAAAATGATTGAGGCCTCAGATCTTCTACCAGATGTCAGATTGTCACCCTGTCTGTCGTCGGCAATCCGATATTCTCTATTGACGTCTTGCTGTGAGCTTCCGGAAATTTGTTTGAAAGAAATTACATTGACGGAAAATTCATCGACGGAAATGTGATCGAACAGAAATTTGGTCGAATCTTTTTTTCAGCTCAAACGTAAAAATTTTGCGTCAAATCTATTTTTGAACGCTTTGTTTTGTTTTAATACATAGGATAGTGCGTTAAAAAAAAAATTTGACGAAAATTTGATCGTGAGAACTGAAAAAAAAAAAATTCAATCAAATATCCGTTTGATCGGATGTCCGTCGATCGAATTGCCGTCGATCGAATTTCCGTCGATCGATTTTCGCCGCAGTTTGCGTCACCCCGATTTCGGCTGAATTCGTTTCGCCGTACAGTATGTCATCACTGGTTTGTTCCATCCCTTCAGCGTTTTAACTTTTACAGTCAAATATTACATTTATAGCTTTCTAAAGTTTTATTCAGAAGAGTTTCAACTTCCTCCCTGGATTATTTGCTAGTTTTTTTCGACACGGGGTACTAACACTAATATTAGGTCTGCTCGCTCAAGATTTGGATGTATGACTGCTGAAGAAGAAAGCCAATTTATTAGCTTGGATGATTCATTGGACTCGAATAAAAACAATGATGACGATGAGGACATCGTTTGTAAATATGTGTAAATATTAAATTCTGTGTACCCAACCGGAATAGCTTTTTTTTTAAAAAAATTTATTTTGGAAAATTTATT